GACACAAATAGCTGTGTTATCCTGTTAAATTAATGTTGGGCATTATTAAGATGGGCCGGACTCACTTGCTGCCTGACATTTGGTGCCTAGCTCCCATTTTAGCGTTTTAGTCATAGCTGCTAGCAGCTTCCTTAATAATAACAGATGGCGCTATAGGAAAACCTTTAAAAGTTAAACAGCTACTGTTAAAGTTTGGGCAGGTCAGGTTAACATTTGTGATAACTGTTTAATACTAATTAATTTCTTAATTATTAATTAATTATTCCTTATAAACTCTTGTTTAGCGCTAACTAGTGAGGGCGAGGCTGTGTGTGTGTGTGTGTGCGTGTGTCTGCCTGTCTGCAGAGTTGTGGGAATTTTTGTGTCAACAGGAGGAGGCAAAGATGGCACTGTTGGTATCAATACTATTGCAAATGAGAATAATACTACAGTAATTTTTTAATATCGATGGGTATCTCTGTATAGATTTTGACAACCCTAGAGAGAAAAGGCTGTTTATGTAGCACTACAATAAATGGGAACTGTGGGAGCTCAGACTCAAAGGTCTGTGAACTACCTGAAGAGGTACTCAGGAAAATCCTATTCAGTCCAAATGGCATCTCTCAAGAATAGCAGATAGTGAACAGAAACATGTCTTTATTTGTGGTCATGCCCCATCGTAACTTCCAATGTTGGCAGTCAGTGAGTGAGCTCTGGGATTGACACTTTTCACTCTTCTTGTACTGAGTAGCCAACATGCTGAACTTTAGACTGTTGCAGTTTACTGGCATGACAGTTGATAGTTCATAATTTTTATATATAATATTTTTGAGCAGTTGTTTAAAAAAAAAAAAGCAAACATTTGACAGTTAAAGTTCTCTGTGTCTTTGTTAAATGATGTACAAATACCCACAGAATTTCCAGCTATGAGACTTTTTCAGTTTCAGGTTTTCCACAGTGAATATTTGCTGCTGACCTACTTTTTCAAAGCAAAACTGGCACGATAAACTACTTCTTTTTGTGGATATGTAAAATGGAACTGAACGGCTTCATTATGAAATCTTGCGTTCTTAATAATTCATCTTACTGAACTTTATTTAACAAATTACTTTATTTAATCACGCTGATGGTATACTTTAGATATTTTACATAATGCTCTTATTTTAGTGACTCTGTCACATCATAACTGACCGCTCTACCCAGTACGCCCAATATTGCGAGACAGAACTATGTTACATAAATAATGACTGCATGAAATATAAATGCAGAGCACTGTGGTGTCATAAAGCAACAGTATTCTGACTTTCACATTTTATTTAGCTGTGATTTCGCATAGTCTTTAAGACAATTTAGGGCAAATAATATTATTTATTTTCCTGCTGTGGATCATGGTAACAGCAGACTAAATACAGACAAGGAGGTATGTGGGGGTTGTCAGCATAAGAGCGAGGGCATGCAGTTGAACCTTTACTCAGCCTTCACAGTCATGTCTTAATAAGCAGGATCTAGCACTACGATAATGGTTGTTGATTATTATGTCTTTGCAAAGCAGAGGAAAGACACAAAACACAAATATTTGACCAATATCCTGAATGCCTTTGTAAATTTCTATGTATTTTGCTTAGCAAGCCAAAGGGATTCCTTAATCATCCTTAACGAGTCCTTAATCATACGTGCAATCTAAAAAACTCAAAGACAGAAAACATTAAAATGCTGTTTTTCAAAAATATAGTATCCATTTAACAGGTGCACTTCATACAAAGCTAAAACACTGCAATGCTGATGACTGTAAGCACAGATGACAAAAAGCTGATTCAGGCAGACATGATCTTATAAAATTGTCAAATGGCAGAGAAAATGAATTATATCTATTGCTGGATGCTGGGTCTAGTGAATGTGACACATGGTCCTTTATGTGAAGTGCATTGTCACTGAGATCCTGCCAAGACTACTCAGCCAACTGCATCCAGACACACTGTAGAGACACGAGTGCCTTAATGACATTTTGTACAGCTAGATGACGGCACCTTGTGCGTTGAAACAGTGGACAGAGCATTGTTCGTTTTCCTTTCTATATGTCTCACTTTATATTTAATCAGCTGTCACAGTTTTGAGTTCACAGTCAGGAGGGTAAGGATTCTGTAAAGGGTCAGAATAATGTCTGCAGGAGGCAACGAGAAGAAGAAAATCAATTTATAGATTTATGTCCAATCCTTGTTGCTGTTATCCTCCAGATGTTTTATTCAGTGAGGCATTAACTTGAATAGTAATGTAATTATTTTCCATGAGCCATACACCATGTGCATGATCAACAGCGTAAGACCATCAGCGATGGAGATCGTATGATAGACAGTTGAGTGCATTTTGGTGTAGTGTTACCAGCACAATAGCACTGGGATCACTTTGTCAAGGGGATTAAATGGATTTACGTCTCTGGATTAGAATGTAACCAGCTGGGTACATTTGTGAAAGAAAGTTTGCGTGTGTGTTTGTGTGTGTGTGTCAGAGAGAGGCAAAACATGGCATGTTTTAATGGTTTCTGTCAGCTAATACTGAAGTTAAAGGAAAACTTCTTTTCTACTAAGCACCTTAAGAAACACTGGACCCCCCTTCATGCTTACTAAAGGTTTGATTCATTAACTTTGCTCAAACCTTTGGACCAAATTTGCTATGAATAGCTGTTAGACTTGCTCCCAGTATTCAAATCCAGATGTGGTTTAGAATTACATGAGGATAACGTGCTCACATCAGATTTAATATAAGAATATGAAATGCATGTCTCTCAAGCTTTACTTGTGCAATAGCTATTAATAATTATTTCTCGAAATCATTTCTTAATTTGATTGTGAACATCATCATTAGAGGAAGGGAATCACTATAATAGTGTTAATTGTGCAGTAACCCCACAGGCTGCACAATCTTTCACAAGCTATCAAATAAGCAGTCCTCCTGCATAGATCACTCACCGAATTTAAATGTAATACAACAAAGACTGCTATCACTGTATTGCACACCGCAGTGAGTCAATTATTAGTTACCTGTTAGTTATTGTGGCAAAATGTTTCAGTCAATGTTGGTCTTTGGGGTCTTGACATCAGCCAGTGTTCTTGTTTCTTTCACTTTTCTCATGCAGCTTCATGCTTGCCTTGTCAGAATGCTTTTTTTCCAGCAGCCTGCTTCTCATTTTCAAGCAACGTTTTTTGTCAACATACTGCATGCGTGTATATTTTTTAAAGATCGGCTCTTTTCACAGAGGCCACTGTGACATGTCAGCGGAGTAAACACAGATGTAATTGATAAAACGATGGCCCCATTTAGTGCGCCTCAGCCATTTGTTTGAGCTCTGGCCCATCTGGTTGGAACCGGTCCATAATTAATTTGATTAATTACACCTGTGTTTAGCCTGCGACGGTCCGATCAAAAAGGCCCCTCTGAAAATGGCCTATAGAATCTCATTTATCTAAATGTCCTGTATTTTCTTAAATTTGGAAAGCTTTATCCACATCTGGCTACATTTTAAACAAAATTAAACCATTGTAAGGCAAATGCACAGTTCAGTACTGAAGGACAAGGATAAATGAGGCTCTAGTATGAGTTATACATATTATCAAAAATATTTCAAATTCCATCAAATGAAATCAATCTAAATTTTTACCAAAACTGATGTGGTCGTATTATACAACGAGTGAAGTGTTTAATTGTGATAATTTGGATTGATTTTGTGTGCATGGTGTCTGATTTGGAATGGGAACCAGTGGTGATGGTAAGTTTCGGTCAAAATAAATCTGGGCAAGAAACCATATTAAAGAGGTAGGAGTTTATTTAGCAGCGGTCCCTATTTGGTCGCATGGTTATTGTAAATGGATTGATCACACAACCATGTTTCTTTGTCTTCTATATATATATATACATTGCATGTTGGTGTTTTCATGATTTTTGGTTAATTTTTTTAATCCAAAGTTAAAAGTCTAATAACTGTGTTCTCATCACATTTATTTATTTTCTATATTTATTTATTAGATCCTTTTGTATCTGTCTGGTGTTACATTTTAATGATCAAATATTAAATACTATTGCTATGTATCAGTGATGAATAGTACTGCTGACTGATTATATATTATTATTCTTTTCATAGGAAATGTGTGGGTCCTTACGCATCCTTATGTGATTATTTTTGCATGTTTCCAGTCAAATCATTTTGTTAAACTCATTTATTTCCTTGCTGTTAGCATGTTTTCTGCACTTGTTTGCTATTAGTTTGCTAGCATATACTTCTTCACCTATATCTTTCATTTGAGACCAATTTCACATGTCAGTTTTGGGGTTTTTTGTTTTGTTTTTTTCACTTCCACAAAACTCACATTGTTTGCCAAAAATTAGTGTTAGGAGAATTTCATCCGGGAGGCAATCTCCTTTTGTATTGCCCGTATGTGGTCACTGGTCATTGCCTTCACTACTGTGACCAATTCACCTGAATAAGTGACACGAGACTCCACTGCCGGTTCGGAAACCTCAGAGGCATTGCTTTACCGCAGCCGGCTCAATTTATTTAGGTTATTTTCTGTTGCAGCGTATTTCATCACATGCACCGGCTTTTCAGTCAAGAAAAACAAACTAGATTTCACTGAGCTGCTGGAGTAAATAGTTGTTGATACAAAAAGTTGCAGTTCATTATTTTAAAAAAACGTCAAATAAAAAAAGTAAAGATTTAACAAGCTTAACAGAACACTATGAAACCGCCTCAAGTTTCAATATAATGGACTTGCTTGATAGAATTAAATTCTTTGAAGTCGTTTCAAATGTTCAAAAGTTCACTCAGAGCTCTGTCCTGTATTCCAGGTCAATGCACGGACAAAAACACGTGTACGTGCTTTAGCGTTTCCTCTGCAGGGGTTACAATAGGTCACTTGCATGTGATGTTTAATGCCTTGCATGGTGATGACATGCAATGGCCAGTACTAGTCTGCATGCTGCTTAATGAATATCTTCCTCTTTTTCTCTTTGCCTGTCTGTGCTTCCAGAAGACAACTATAATGAAGGTGGGTATTGTAATTGAAACCGGTTCTATTTTTTTCTAACACATTGTTATGGCTAAGGCTTCTCAGTGTTTTATAAGGGTAACAGTATCGCTGTTACTGGAGTGGTAAGTCTGATTAATTAAATTTTCTCTGTTATTTCTGGGTATTCAAACAATACTCGAACATCACCATAGCCTTCACAGCCAAGACATTTAAAAATGTATATTAAACGGATCTAAGGGCGTTAAAGGGTCAGTAAAATATCTTATTTAAATGGGTACAAGCACTGATATTAGCATGTCCATTTATTACTCATATCACAGTGATTCTTTTTGCACGAGATTGCAAAGATTAGATTTTTTTATATGTAGTTTTGGAGAATGGGATTGCATATCCTTTTTAGTTGAAGACCTACCCAGAGGGTTAACTGTGAATACTTGTACAGCAATTCTGTGCCTGCTTTGATTGCCTCATTTAATCAATAGTCTACTTTAGGACCATGTGAACCAGATCTGATACTAGTACGGGCTAGTAGCACCAAATTATTACTCTAAGAAACACTGACAAAAGAAAGATTGAAGCAATTATTGAGCGCAATATTGGCTAAAAAAATGTTTTTTAATAAATTCATTAAAGATGCACATTTAACAAAGTAAATGCAGATTTTTGTTGACTGAAATCTTTGTTCGTGGTTATCACAACTCAAAATTTATTTGGTTGAATTTTGTTGGTAAGTATATTGTAATAAAAAGGAAAAGGGCATCTTAATTTATTCCATGCAGACTTTTAACACAATGACAGCTTCCTTTTTATTAAGCAAGGCTGGTCATGTTGTTTGTATTGAGATTAATTTTAAAATGAGTATTTGAGATGTGAAGCTGAAAGGCTAAGCAGAACACACGATTTATAACAGAAAACTGCGTCAGAAGACATCTTCATCTTTTTTACCCGTATGATTTTGTTTGAATATGAATCAAATATTAGCTGAACGCAGGTCTATATTTGAATAGCGATTGCTCTTTAAGGGTGGTAGGCGGAATGATGATCTTAGAGCACAAAGATCAGCCTGAATTTAAATTTCTGAATTATATCTAGTAAGTGGATGATGATGATGCATTGCAACCTGCTTCGGTTGACCAAATGCTCATCTTGCTGACCCTGTCTATGCATCCTCCTATTTCTCTCCTTCCCACTTTTTCCCTATCCACACTCCTCAAGTAACACAGACATCTGCACTGAAAGAGATGCCTGCGTGTCAGTGTCACACAGCTTCCCATGATCCCTTGTTCTCTGCTGACTGTGCTCTTGTTTTCCTTTAAGGTCTGGCACACCTGATGATGGGCGACCAAGGTATGAGCTCTGTTCCTTTTTCCAGCGATTCCCCCATTTGTCCCTCTTGCTCCCATTGTGCTCAGAAGTGTGTGTGCGTGCCTGTAACTCTTATTTAACATCCAGGCTTGAAGCTTCAGATATGGGCTGTCAATTCACTTATACTGACTGACCTGGCTAATTTTCACTCTCTCAGTGACTTTTTTTTTTCCTCCCCATCTTTTCAAGCTCATTTAGCTTTCTATTCACGACTCTGCTGTGTCGCCATTTGTTTCCATCTTTCTTTCTTTTTAATTATTCTAATTTACTTCATGTTCTTTTGTTTACTGGGAATGTGGTTAGAGTAACGAGACACTTCCATCAGCATCATTTGAATGTAATGCATGGTGGTGGTAAATGGCTTACTGAAATTTTAAGCTAATCTTCATCTGTCCTCGCTCCTGTAATGCATGTAGCGATTGTCTGCACAGAGTCTGTCCATTCTGTTTTTGTGATCCTGCACATTTTTATTATGTAGCACAGATAGAATGAGAAGTTTTGGTTTTATCTTTCATCATTATTCCCATTACAGTTACACATTTCCTCTCTTCTGATTGCACATATTTGTAGTCATCAAGCCTCTTGCTCCTGTCCTCTGTCCTTTTCCGACGTGACCATGACACTTATTCGTGTCTCCTCTCCTTTTGTTCTCCCTTTTTGTCTGGAATATGCTTTCTTCATGGACATTTCATCAAATTTCATAGGTAAAAGTAAAGGTACTACCCTTTTAATTCTGAGTTTTCATTGAACTAAGCTAGCCATGTTTGTGACATTATATACTCATGCTGAATGAAGTATATAAAGTCATTGGCATTTTTGAAACTTGCTTTTTCAACCATTAATGAAAGCTTTTCAAGGTAGGTGCCACTTTCGCTTCGTGTTCACACTTTTAAGCTGCGCCATTTGTTCCTTTCTGCTTGTGCATGGGGATCATAAACAAGTCTCACATGGGCATATGAACACACTAGTTTCTGTCGTAGTTCCAGTACACCACCACCACCACTGGGGTAACTACAAGCTTTCTGTTCAAATCATGATTTTTGGGGTTGTGGGTGAGGCTTGATCATAGTGTTGTGGGCCTCCCATCCTGGCTGTGATCCTCACCTCTTCTCCCTGTGGGGTAAGTGGACTTCTGATCTTTCCCATTTGACTCTCCTCCTCAGGGCAGAGAGGGGAAGCTTGGCTTCTAAGGTCCCTACTGAGCATTCAAGGTAAAACTTTGATTCTTTCAAGTTGAAGTAAAGCTGGAAGCTATATAAGTCCTCTTCAGCTTACATCAGTGTAATGCAGTTTAATGTTTGCTAATTAGAAAATAATGTTTAATAATACTTTATAACTCAATTGAAACATAATAAAGACTGATTTTGGCAATCAGTCTTTCCTTTTGCATTCTGAAAATACATTTTTTCTTGCTTTTGCTTGACCTTTGTCTTAAAATTGACTGTGTCATTCGTTCTGATTGTAGAAATTCCTTGCAAATTAGTTTGGAACATTTTTGTTTCTTAAGACCAAATAGAAAAATATCATGATAATGCTGTCTCTTATCATGTACTTGTGAAGCATCATCTAAACAGGTAAGTCTTCCAAGTGACCTTTAGACGCACAGTGTGAGGAATTATGTTGTTGGATTTTGTGCCATCAAATGCCATGCTACTAAAGCTGCAGTGCTATTTGTGACCAAACACACATACACACACAAACACACCATGTTCTTATTACAAGGAAAGATATTGCATTGGCTTAAATTAAATTTGTGGACAATTACCTTAAGCCAAACCACAATCCCCACTTGCCTTAACTTAACCTTCAACTAAGTCGTCATAATAAAATCTATAGATTATGTTATGGAGACTAGACGCACATACCCACACAAATAAAACCCACTGTCCATTCTAAATACAGACATTGATTTTTCCATCCGCTAAGGTAAGTCTTTGTGTTTTATTTTCGGTTTTGAAGATGGATGCATACAAATTTGACATACATGCAACATATATTCACTACATTTTTTGTTAATAATAAATCTAGCTCTGTAGGTGACTTCAAAACATTTTTCTAAAATTATGCAAAAGAAAATTGCATCATGTGCATGTACATATAAGGAATTGCGTATGTAGAAGGTTAGTCGATTGCACAAAAATAAAACCCTTTGAATTGTGTATAGTGTACAGTATGAGGCTTCTGATGCTTTGGTTTTATTACACTGTACCACACGCTCAGCTTGGACGTGGCAGAAGGAAAGCCACGGGGAGAGATTGAGATAATGCTGATGAGGCACAAATCTGCCATACGTGGAACACTGCTTCTAATTTGGGCCATGGTTAGCTGTCCCCCGTGTTGTACAGTGTGAAACATAGTCAATCCTTTTACATGCTGTGTGGTAAATCTAAGAACGAGCACAGAGCGACAGTGCATTCACTGTCTGCCATAAGCTTGTGAGAATATTGGGCATTATGTTGTCCCTCCCACCCCTTCCTCCCAAGGTGCTGCTGTGTCATGTTAACTGCTTTATACCCTGTTTCATGGGTAGCCTTTTGAGAATGGGCTTGTGAATGTGCACTGCTTTCAGCTGGTACACTGCCACCGGATTCCTGAAACCTTGTTTCCATCTAGCTCTAGCGAGCGGGGCATGCCGTAGGATAAGTCATAATACCACTGACCTACAAATCACCAGGGTATTTAATTGCACTCATCACAATAAACTGCCATGTGCAGCTTAAGAGAAACTGCAGGCTGTGCAGACAGGCTTACAGGTACAACTGTGCTATTTCTAAATTAGTATACTTCTAATGTAATTGCTTTCAGTTTCTGAACATGGAAATGTCTCTTCTCATTGTAGTGTTCACACGCCACAGGTTTTCTGTAAAGTGAGAAAGCGAATCCCTCTGGTAGCTGCCTTGTACATATTGTGCTACATTTTAAATGTCAAATTAAATGGATATTTAAAATACTCTACTATATTACAGAAGCCTGACTCACCCAGACTTTTAACTGAGTGTCATAGACGTGTAAAGATGACACATTTCTTCAAATAGTAACTTTTGGAGTCACCTCATAGTGTTTTGTTTGATACATGTGAGGTGACTTATAAGATGAATATCAAATTATCAAAAGTGATAATTTCACAGCAATTACAGGAGTTAAGAGTGTAGATATGATTCATGTCCTCACCCAGTGAAGTTGGCCATTGCTTGGTGGTATTAATAGCAACGACTTTAGAGTTGAACAAAGATTTGCAAGTGTTTTGGATAAATGCTGTGAATCATAAATGGAACAAAGCCACACGAGGCAGAAAAAACTCAAGACAGAGATTTCGCATGTCAAAACCAACATAAATGCTAGAGAGGTGCATTAGCTAAATTCAATTCTAGTATCCCATCTAATCTCGCAATCTAGGAACATTTGATAAAAGAATATCTGTATTATTATCAGTATTTTCCAGTAATAGATATAGCTTAAAAGTAGCATATAGTGCTATAAGAGTGTGTTCAGGTCAATAAAAACGGTGCCTCAATTTTTCTGTTTAATTTAACCATCCATTTATTTTAACGCAAGTGCTTATTTAGAGTTATTATTGAGAGTTTGACAGTTTCTATAGCTGCAAATGCTGTAAGAGCCTATTATCAAATATGAAGAGGTCAAAGCTTGCATTCGTATGAGGGTATCCATGCTGTGTTTGTGTAAATGGAGAGTGCACAAGAAAACTCTGTTTAAGGTGGACTTGGGAATGGCGTGCATGTAATTTACAGACCCCAGCATCGCTATGCTCCCTCAATGCCAGCTGTGTTTGGGAATTATTTAATTACCAAATGCATAAAATCCTAAAACGAACGTTTTGAGTGTAGGAGCGCATTTCAAAAGCACGTGTGTATGAACGAGAGACATCAGTACTGAAAAGAGAAGTTGGGACTCTGAGACAAACTGATGTGTACTTGGGTGTGGATCGTTGAGGACACCGCGAGCGCAGGCCAGTGAAAAATTGGACAAAAATGCCCAAAGTCGGAAACATGATACAAATTACAGCTAGTATATGCAAAATTATTATTTAATTATTTTTTTTATTGTGAAATTTGTCAGAAGCTTCAATAAACCCTCCAGTTTAAAGAAGTTGAATCTTCTAGGAATTAATTCATTATTTAGGCTTTACAGGGTTAAGAAATTCGTTTGTAGCATCAATCTCACATCTCAAACTCAACTCATTTTTTAATAATCTTTAGCCATCATAATAAAATGTTTTGTAATGGATTTTGAAATCCTTCGTTGCCTAACCATGGCTGTCATTTTTACTTCTGGCATCACAATGGCCAGTGTAGCAGCATGTGAAAACAAGGCGGACGAGTGGAATATGTTTGTTGTTGTTTTTTGATCAGGGCCTGCTTAGAGGTTGGGATGGTTATATCTTCCACATTTCTTCTGTCCTTACAGGAAAGTTGTCAATTTTGTGAGATGACAGGCAAAATGTGCCCATTGTCAACATATTTGTACAGCACACATATAAATGAACAGGTATAGATCAGTTAGATATAGCTGCAATTATATTATTCCAGTGATGCCTGAAATGTGTCCTGGGGACCCTGGTGGGTCATCGAGGTACTGCAGGTAAGCAGCAGTAATAACAGAAATTCAGTTTGAAATTACCCAAAGTCTGTACAGTTATATTATTATTTTATTAATATAAAAAGTGATTTATTAATTTTTGTATTGAAGTTTGTAGCGGCAGGTGGGTCACATATTGACTTTAACACTTTAACTGCCTATGACTCGGTAGCATTAGCAATTTATACAAAACAGTCTATGTTGTTTATGTTGTTTTTAACACAGTTTTAAGGAACTACATAACGTACTCTTGTAGTTTGACTAGAATGAAGATTTAAGATTGCATGCGTCGCACTTAATTTGTGTTAGCACTAACGGGATAGCTTTTCTACCAGGTTATGTTAATGGTGACATGAATCCAGCTCCCATCCACACAAACATATATGCTTGTTCAGGATACCTAGTCATCGCATTTAAACATACTGAATACCTCAAGCATCATTTACAATGTACAGGCTTAATCTTAAAAATGGGCATATTTTAGCCCTCACCCATGATCTGTTTCTAAATCTAATCAGGTCGATTTGCTGAGCAACCATAACCATTAGTTTTTGGTGCATACTCCAATTAGTCACTAAAAGCAAGCAAAAATAAATGATTATTGAATGAAATCACATATCTATGTTTTACTGAAACTAAAACGCAGAAAACAAAATAAACCAAAATGCTAAATACAAATCTCAGAAAATCTCCTTGGAAACCTACCAGCATCTTAAGCCACTGCTACCCCTAGCTGTCATCATGTCAAATGCCAGCAGCTTTGACAAGCAGCTTTGGCAGTATGACATGATATTTTGGGATGAGAACACAAATATTCATAATCATGCATCAAACTATAAAGTAAGCATTTGTTCTTGAGTTTGTATTTGTTATAATGTATGATAGTGTTGACGGAATCATAAGAAAGGCAGGCATGATGAAAAACAATAATATTCAGCGTTATGAACCAAAGGCAATTTAATGCATTATATACTTTCTTATCGTGGCTACAATCAGAATCCATGTGTGTGACAGTGTTGCAATAGAAAGTAAGAAATACTTTTTAGATAACATGGAGCAGCATGTCAGAGTGCAGAAACTGTCAAGACTTTTGTGCCTTCTTTATCTGACAGGTTACACA